ATACTTCGAGGTATTCTATAATATTACGAGATATTTTGTAATACTTCAATATATTTGCATAATTATTTCAGAATGTTTTAAGGTGTTTCAATGTATTTTAATGTAATTTGGCAAATTTCGACCAATATTTTGAAAAATTAATTCTTAATTTTTTATTTTTTTTATTCTATTTTCAAAACGAGTCGAAACATTTCTAAAACACGTTGAAATATTTTCCGTTTTTTAGGTGACCGATATAATGCATCGAAACGAAATTTTAATCCTTGACTTCTTCTACTTTATCATATCGTTAAGGACATTTTCTTTATTATCAAAAATATCACTGACAACCCTTTTAGTTTATATTTAAACATCACTCACACCTATGCCATTAAACCATCACCCAATAATTAGTATATAATTATATTATCTATTGAAATTTAATTTGGTTATTTAAACTACCAAATTAAGCCACCAAATTACCTCCATTAAAGCTAGAAAATATTGTGTCCATTAAAGTTTGACATTTTATTTAATTTGTTAGTTTTATTCCAATAGATAGTATAATTGTATGCTAATTATAATTTTTTAAGAAAAAAATTAACTTTTTATTTTTGATTTTATTTCAATAATGACATAATAAAACATGAATTTTTGTTGTAAAATTCATATTATATTATGAATAAATTAGACTCATTGTTTGATTTTTTTTGTTTTATTTTAATGGATAGTATAATTGTATACTAAGTATGATTTTTGACAGAAAAATTGACTTTTTATTTTTGGATTTATTTCAATAAATGAAATAATAGAATATGAATTTAGATTATAAAATTCAAAATATTTTATATTCTATATTTTATTAGAGTATTTTTTATCTAAGTATAACATTTTAACATTGAGAGGTCTAAATATTATACACTTATAAATTTTATAAGGTCTGAGTGTAATTTATTAATGGATATACTAACGGACATTTTGACAGCTTAGTCTAAGTGTTACACGTGTACAAACATCAGGGAGTTTGTGTATAATATTTTAACTATCAGGGGATTTGAGTGATTAAATAACAAATTTTAAGGGGTCTAAGTATAATTATCCCATAAAAAATTACTTTTTTCATTTCTTTTCACTTTTTATTCAATACACCTTCTTATTTTTCATCCTTTTTACCAAATGAAAAAGGGAAAAAATAACTTTCTAATGAAAATTTTATTTCTTTCACTTTTCTTTCAAATCTTCTTTAAATTTAGACATACCATTCATGCACAATTTTCAAACTACGCAAGAACTGTTTAAAAAAAAATTACGACAAAATGTTATGGAGACCTAATTCAAGAATCTAATCAGAGACCTAATTTGATAGGGTAAACTCAAAAAATTAATGGGATTAATTTTTCCATCATTCTTTATGCAAATTAAATAGGTGATGTACCAAATACGATCAACGAATAAATTAAAACAGATAATATAAGACACAAAATTTACTTAATTCTCTCAAACCCGGGGTATGTTCATAAACGTTGATCTCAACTTTCCACTATATTTCAATACCCTTTCAACTATTATTTTAGATTAAGTGCACATTTTAGGTTAAGAGAGCCAGACCAATTCAGAGGCCACCATTGTACACGTGAACCATTCCGTTTTTGAAATAGTACCATTACCATTAGGAAAGGTAATAGTGGATTGACCATTTATTCTGAGAAGTTATAGGGTCTAATATTAAATTAGTTAACATAAATATAAGCCCTAAAAAATCAGTTGTGGTAGCTGTTGTATGGTCTAAAACTTTATGTTGGTTAAGATAAATATGGGCTCTAAAACTAATTATATTATGGTAAGCTGTAGGGTTAAGAACTTCAATGAGTTAGAGTAATTGAAGAATCTAATCTAAAAACTAAAAAGGATACAATCTTTTTTTAATTATTTAAATACCGAAGGATAGTATTGGTATTCAAAATTGTACTAAGGCTATTATAGTCAATCAAAAAAATTTCACTTTAGTTGAAATTTTATCTTAACTAACTAATATTATAACACTTGTTAATACTAATTATAGAGTTAATGTAGACTTTAATCTGATAAATCCTAAACTTTTCATAAATAGATATGTCAATTTGAAAGTTTATATGTAATACAAACGGAACAAATTGAAAATTATTAAAAAGTTTAATTATGGGATTTGATAACTTAGTTTCCCAATAATTATATGAGAATTGGGGAAAAAAAAATATATATATATAGATATATCTATAAAACAGGATCAAATTAAGCGCTAGCTATGTTATCTATTGGTCGATGTTATATTAAAATTTTCGTGGTTCAAATTAACTCCAAAATATTAATGTGACGGATCAGATTGATTAATAATTTTTTCCCCACCCAAGACACCTTCCATTTATAATTGTCAAATTAATGCTATTTCCGTTTACACATTCCATTCATGACTAACACCTCTGTTTCTCTTACTTCTATAATTACACCTAAATGTAAAAGCAAATCTTTCACCAAATCAAACACATATCTTCCCCTAAATTTTGCTTACCTTAATTCGTTCTTTCCATATTCACGCCTACACATACACAGCAGAGCCGCTGGCTTAATTCATTCACTCCTTCCATGTTTATGCCCAACCGTTGCAATATGTCTAGCTGCTCTCTCTGCTTCTCTTTCTGTCTCCGCTGTTCATCCATACGCACAACACACACAGCAAAGCCAGGTATACATCTGCTTCTCTCTCTCTCTCTCTCTCTCTGTGCCCCTCTCTCTCCCCTACTCCCACTGCACGCACAACACAACACAACACAAAACACACACATGCATAGAATGTGTTTGACCAAATTCTAAGCACACAGTACACCCGCACAGCAGGCACATAAAACACAGCACATGCGAACGAACACACCATGACTACCACCTCGCTGTCAACAGCAGCGACCAGTGACGATAATTGAATAGTTGAAACCACCCACTTTGTAGCGTCATCGTCAAGCACATTTGTTGCCATCAGGGTCGAATTTTTGGTCTCCTCCATTTTGTTGAAGTTTTTGCTTTATTCCACGTAGTATTTTATTCTAATTTTTTAGTTTGATATTAATTTCTGTTTGCTATTTTAGTTTGATTCCGTCGTCAATTCAATTTCATAGAGGCAATCCATTTAATCGCGACAAACATCTCAGGTAAAAAGATCTTGGGTTTAAAGTTTTTGGGCTTAATGTCTTCCTTTCAAGTTGATGTAGTCTATTTTGATGATTAATGAAAAAAAAAATTATGGTTGTAGTTCTAGGTGAAGTAAATTAATTTTTTTATGTACAATCATATAGCAAAGTATCTATTGAATACTTGGTTAGCCCATGTCTACTCTTTTATGTGGCGTATCTATGCAATGACTTATTTTTGTTTCACATGGTTAAGTGTTTGAATTGAATGCAACTGTAGATGTTGTATTTAGCATATTACTAAATTAATGCCCATGCCTTTATCATAGTTTCTAAGTATATTGAAATGTTTTTGAGCACATTAAACTAATATTAATCAATATTGTTTTCATTTGTTTAATTTTTCGTTCAATGTTCAATGTTAGTTTTCTTATTAATTTGGTTGTCTTGATTTATTTTCTTCAGGATTATTTTTATCGNTTTCTTATTAATTTGGTTGTCTTGATTTATTTTCTTCAGGATTATTTCTATCGTTCTCAAGCTCTTGCACATGCAACAACTTCAATAGACAATAATATAAGGTATTTTTAATGATTTTATAACATTATTTTTTGGGTAGACAAGAATTTACTTGCTTTTAACAATTAATAACTTTGTAATCTTTGATTGCTGTGGAATTTTATTAGTTTGTAAAAAGGATTCGTTCAATTACTGGGATCCTAGAAAGGGCGTGAAAATATAAATTTGAACGAACAAAAAAAATTGTTATGACTTAAACCAATAAAAGGTCCAACTTATGCCTACAACTGCTATGAACATGTAAAAAGTCCAATGTCGTTTTGTGAATTTGAGGTGTTTGGCATATGAATAGTATTGAATGTTTAACTTTGAACAAAAAATAATATTTTGTTTTTGAGCTTTACAAGTTTGAAAAAAAATTGTGTAGGAGTGCGTATTTTTATAGTTTTGTTATATAAATTGTGTTCATGTTTTAAGTTTTGAGTATAAATTTCAGAATTTTTTTTTCAAGTTTTGCGATTGTCATAGAAAGCTAAAAAGTTATTCTTCTTAGATACTATATACTTGATTTGAGTTGTGTTTAGTTAAATAAATGCTTGATTCTATAAATTGCGCACAAAAATTGTTCGTGTTTAGTGGTCATGTTTATAGATGAAATATTGTCAATTTTTTTTTAAAATAATAAAGTAGTTTGCTTATAAGATTGTTACTCTCTCTCTGGCTCCTTCTGTCTCTCAGTGTCCACCTCTCACACACACACACACACACAAGTTGTTCGACTAAATGTCTCTCAATTTTATCAGTTTTTTTTAAATAATAATGTAGAGCTCTTTTTGAATATAAGATAAAGAGTGGTTCAGATAAAATTCTTATCCTTTTTTGTACCCAAATTTAAATTTAGATAAAAATAATTTAAAATATTTCTTTAATGTTAAACTCATATTCATATCAAATGAAAAGAAACTATTTTTAAACTAAATTAAGGGAGATTTTTTTAAAAAAAATTTAAATTCAAACATTAATGGTGAAATTATACCATCTTTTAAAGATATTATAGTCATATTTTACTTTTTTTTTAAATTTAAGTTTTGCTTTATTTAAATTTGAATTTCTTTTCCTATAAATTTAAGTTTCTCTGTAGAAGAAGTCTCTAACAAATTAAGTTTTTTATTTTTTTTATTTTCTGTTTAAATTTGGGTAAGAGTTAAATGACTTATCTCTAATTTTTTGCCGCTCCATGACCCAAATTTTTTTTTTTTTTTGCCGCTTACATCACTTCAAAAATATCAATCAGACGCACCCCGTTCAGTCTTAGTCCCAGTTTCCATTTTTTGACTCCCAAATTAATGCCTGATTCCCAAACTCACGCTGTATCTCTTCCAAATCTTCTCCAATCTAACAGCTCTTTCTCTTTCCCCCTCCACAAATCTACCAAATCTCAGCTTCCCTAATTCAGATTCACGCCTTAACTCCCTCCGCCTCACCCAATCTTTGCTCCCTATTTGGTCTCTTCCCCCAATCTGCTAACTCTCTCCCCATCTCTCTTCTCGCTCAAGACACTGCCCCCCCTCTCTCTCTCTCTGTGTTTTTCTCTCTTCCTCAATCTTTCCCCGTCTCTCACGCTCTCACTATCTTTCTCGCTCAACAACCGATATCGTTGACGCCCAGCCACTGTCATCGACCGCCACCAATGACAGTCACGACAGCAAAGCCAGCCACTGCCGACGACCGCCAGCAATTGCCACGCCAACGACACCCCCAGGTAATTCTCCAACCCCATCCCAACGCCAGTCACCACCGTCTGCCACCTCACGCTCACTAACTGCTCCACAAAATTCCCACGAAAGACAAATCCCCCACCAATCACAAAAGACACAGTACTTCCCCCTTTCTCAAAGAGCTCGACATCCCTTTCACTCCCTACCTCCATCTCTCTACTCTTCTCTTCACTGCCTTCCACCACCGTCTGCCATAGCGCCACCCACCATCGACCAATCAACCAAATCCCCCATCCAATCAAACCCCAAGACCCCCACTTGCCAATAGCCCCACAAACAGAGACCTAAACTAATCCCTCCTAAATTGATCTTGAATCTTGAATAGGTGCAAAGGGCATGGCCACAGATTCACAGTTTCGTATAGACAAAAAAGTTATTGAGAGACTTCTCAAAACTTCATCTTGTCGAGTTACTTTCTTGGTTTCCAAATAGGAAAAATTATAAGGACAGTAAATTTTCAATAGTGAGTCTTTTTGTTCTCCTTAATTTATTGTTTAGTTAGTTTGTTTTCCTCCAATTTTTCCTTCCGATGCACATAAACCAGTTATTACCCGTGCCACACTATTCAAAAAAAAAATTATACTTGTTTTTAATGTATAAGACAAAGTACCAATCAATATTGATTCACTATTTAAAATAAAATTGATAAAATAAACTCCAAAAACACAATTTTTGGACAATATTAATTTGCATACACAATTTATATAATTAAAATAATAAAGATTATAAATTTTTATTTAAAAAAATTGAGTCACGTCACCGTCTTATATAATATAACCCTCTCCAAAATGCTTTTGCACTCGAGGGGATAATTCGCTAAACTCCGAATTAAATGGACTTTGAAAATATTTTTTTTTTTTTATTTTTTGATATATTTTACTTGACTTAGAAAATTAAAATAAATGGAACTTATTTACTCATTATTTAACACCCAATAGTCTCCAAACTCAAACTGATATGTATCGTTCTATTTATATTAAAAAACTAAAATTTTATACTGCTCCCATTAATTCAAAAATTAAAGTTACATAATACAAAAAAAAAAATCATTCACTCATTTGATGAAATTATAGATTAAAAAAAATAGCTTTCATGAAATGATAAAATCAAATGTGTCAGTGCAATTCATCAATAATGAATTTAAAAATTATCACGGTATAATACAAAAGACAATTATTTAAATATTAAAAAAAAATACGTGAGTTACCATAAAAAAAAGTGAATGAATTAAGGTAGGTATAATTTGGAGAAGACATGTGTCTAATTTGGTGGGAGATTTTTCTTTTACTTTTATTATTTTAATTCGAATTAAGACATGAATTAAGGCATTGATTCTCTCTCTCACCGATATAAATCTCTCTCCCATTCCGTTTTCTGTTATGCGTTTGTGTTGTATGTGAGGTATGGATATGGGAAAATCAACATTGGATTCAACTTTGTTTTGACGTTTATAGTTAGCTGTTTCGTTTAGCTCATCTACCTGTACAATGTGTAATTAATCGCGGGAATGGGATATGGGTATTTTTTTTTTTTTTTTTTTTTGGTCCTGAGTCTGACCGGATATTTTAAATAAAATATTATGCCTAAATTTGATGTTCTAGACACACATTGTGAAGAACCGACCAAGAAAATGATATTGTTGCTTTAAATAAAAGGTGAATCTATATAACTAATCTTGAATTTTTTGTCATTTGTCGATTAGATCAATTCTGATTAAAATATAAATTAAATCTAAGGATATATCTTATCTCTAATTTTTTATGAACAATTTTTTTTGCCACTCACATTAAAAGAGTAAATTATATTTTATTTTTTGAACTATTATTTTTGTTTTACTTTATACTTTTAGCTATAAAATTTCTCATATTATATTCTAAAATATTAATTTTATTTTATATCACTATATAATTGATAACGACAAACTTAACTTAAAAATCTACCAAAGGAATGAGAGAAGCTCCGAAGAGCTTTCCTCAAAATGTCTAATATCATTTTATTTTACCTATTTTACAATCAAATAGTTATGGAAAAGAAAAAGAAGGTCGGCTAGAAAAATTAAATTTGAAGATTATGAAGGGCAAAATTATGGATGAATATTTTTCTTAATTTTTGACTTGTATATGTGTAATAGGCATTTTGTTTATTAGTATAGACTGCTGGCATGTGCATTTATCATAAAAAAAAATTAACAACTACTCATTTTGTTCTTAAATATTTGTCGTTTTACACAATTTTTTTGTTCCATAATATCTGTCGTTTAATAAAATCAAAACATAATTAATATTTTTCTTCTAAATTTACCCTTAACTTTTAAATGTATTAGATTAAGTGGAGGCCAAGTGCCTTTCATATTTTTTTTCTTCCCAATACGTATTGAATAAGAGAATTTTAATTTTGTGTAATTATTTTTTACTCATATTAAAACTATTTAATAGCTTTCTTAATCTCTGTACAAAAACTTTAAACGACAGATATTTAAAAACGAATGAGAGTATTATCTATCGGAGTAATTAATATTTTAGGTATAATGCGAAAATTTTTATAGTTGAAATTATAAATGGAAATAAAAATAATAGTTCAAAGGTATAAAATGTAATTTACCCTTCATTCCGATGAACGCTAAAACCTCTCCTCCAAATTTACGCCCACCGATCTCTCCCTTCATATCTTCTTTCGATACAAGAGCAAGAGAGAGAGAGAGAGAGAGAACAGAGACTGATCGGCTCCCTACCCCCTCTTTCCTTTTATCGTTACCAAATCTACTGGCTCTCCCTCCTTCTGATTTCACCTATCACAGTTGATTAGCAATCCAAAAGATCCCCTGCCATACTAGATGTCCTAATTCAATCCCTAATTCACGCGAATTCTTTTCAAAATTCCTCCTCTCCCTCCCTTCGACTTCAACGATCACAATCAATGAGAAATACAAAAGATCNAACAGAGACTGATCGGCTCCCTACCCCCTCTTTCCTTTTATCCTTACCAAATCTACTGGCTCTCCCTCCTTCTGATTTCACCTATGACAGTTGATTAGCAATCCAAAAGATCCCCTTCCATACTAGATGTCCTAATTCAATCCCTAATTCACGCGAATTCTTTTCAAAATTACTCCTCTCCCTCCCTTCGACTTCAACGATCACAATCAATGAGAAATACAAAAGATCCCCTTCCATTCCGGTATCTCCCAATTCAATCCATAATGTCCCACAAATCTCCTCTTTCTCCTTCCGTGTCAAAGCGACTGCTTCCAGCCGCTGCTCAACTCTCTCTCCGCTGCTCATACAGCTCAGACTCTCTGCTGGAATTCTCCATTGCTCCAACTGATTCCAGGTACACGCTGAAACTCTCTGCTTCTCTCTCGCTAAAACTTCTGAGTTTTGGTTTTGCTGAAAATCCCTATAATTTAGTGCTTCTTTGTTGGTAGTTTTATCAATTTTTTTGTGTGTCTTTCTCCGCTACCACTCTGCCCTCTCTCTCTCTCGCTCCTTCTCTCTCTGTTTCTATCTATGGCACGACGCGTTTGATTAAATGCCACAGAGTATAAATATTTTCTTGGCTGGTTCTTTTTTGGGAAACCATACGCATACTATATGTTGATTTCTTGATTTTGAATTCAGAGAAGTTGGACCATACTCTCTCTCTCTCTCTCTCTGTTTTTCTTGCTCTCCATAACTCATCTTTTTCTCCGTTGCCACTCTCCTCTCTCGCTATCTGCTGCTCTCCCGCTCTNGTTCTTTTTTGGGAAACCATACGCATACTATATGTTGATTTCTTGATTTTTAATTCAGAGAAGTTGGACCATACTCTCTCTCTCTCTCTCTCTGTTTTTCTTGCTCTNATGTGTAATAGGCATTTTGTTTATTAGTATAGACTGCTGGCATGTGCATTTATCATAAAAAAAAATTAACAACTACTCATTTTGTTCTTAAATATTTGTCGTTTTACACAATTTTTTTGTTCCATAATATCTGTCGTTTAATAAAATCAAAACATAATTAATATTNCTCCATAACTCATCTTTTTCTCCGTTGCCACTCTCCTCTCTCGCTATCTGCTGCTCTCCCGCTCTCTACCAAGAACACTTACATCGCACAACGCCCATAAGGCGTTCGATCAAATGCCACATTGCATACTCGATGTTGATTTCTTGATTTTCAATTTAGAATATTTGGACCATAGGATTTTTATGAATTCAGTAGATTCAAAAAGTGACTCAATTGTTTTTGGGATAAGATTTCTGAATTTTTGTTTGTCGACAGTCTCTTATGTTGAATTTTTTGGTCTAAAGTTCACTTGAAATTGATTATTTTTTTCTTCCAGTTTTACCTTTGCCAATTCATTAGTTGATTTCTACTATCGTATATATGTGCTCTAGGTTTACTGGATCTAAAGGTTAGCAAATTAGAAACAACCCCAAAGAAAGGAGCACTAGAAGCAGTACTGTGTTGAAATTGTGAAGATAAAACTCATATTTTTTCCTTTGTCTATCCAATTGTGTGGATGAATCTGATTCGTGTTTCTTTTAATAGTGTTTTAATTACTGATATGAGCATTTGGAAGTTGATAAGTTTTAGATGCATACCCATGTCGATTTTATCAGTATTTGTTTAGTTTTAAACCTTTTTATGTCGATTTTGCCTTTTTTTTTTTGGGAAGCAATTGTGGACCAAAACAACTTTTTTTTTTGGGAGATTTGTGCTCTTATTAAGCTGATTCTCTTTCTCTTTCTCTGTGAATTTAGCTTGGCTATATATGTACTTACTGTGTGATATAGACTGCATGGGGCAAGTGTATTTGGACCTTTTGTGTATTCATGAGGCTTATATATTCACAACTTTTTTTCATATTCACAAGGCTTGGCTATTTATGGACTATTGCAATTTATTTTACATTATAGGCAGTTAATGAGACGTGGGTAGGCTTGGGTTACTACAGAAAGGCATGGGTTCTACAATGTTGTGTTTTTGTGAACACATTTAGTCCTCCCTTTTTTCAATTTAATCATTTCCCCTTATTCATTGTTATGGGCTCTGTATATGATGGACAAGTTGTTTTTAGATTTACTTCAGTGACAATTGCAAGTTTATTGACAATCAAAAACTTGCAATTGATTCAATCACAAACAACTACAACCTTTGATCTTTGGTGGTTTTGCCCTGTAAATATATTTGTATTTGTGATCTCTATATTTCACTCACTTATCATAGCAAGTAATTATTTGCTTTATTTGGTGATGCATACTACATATTTTTAAGCTAAATTAATAGTTTATGGTATTGGGAATGCCCTATTAAGAAACGCGTTGTAGATTTGTTGAATATTGAATGGTAAATATCTTTTTATTTTTGGTCAGCAACAAATGTGCAGGCATGTAATTTGGCCAAGGAGAATCTAATATTAGAAACCAATTAGCTGGCATGTAATTTGGCCATCACTTCACACATTTTGGGTAATGTTATGACTAAGTTAATATCCGTGCTTGACACTATGTAACAATCGAATTATCACTTTAAAAACAAACTAATTTAAACCATAATAAGCATACTAAAAGAGAAAAAGATATAATTTTTAGTCCCTGATATGTGGAATGATTTTAATTTCATCCTTCAAGGTCTAATTTTGGCAATTTAGTCTAAATTTGTGTTTAATTAATCCAATTTTCACCGCCAACTAAATTGATAACAAATTTGTGGGGAAATTACTACAAAAAGGGGACCAAATCATAGTTGGGTCTAGCGAGTCTTTATNTGAGTCTAAATTTGTGTTTAATTAATCCAATTTTCACCGCCAACTAAATTGATAACAAATTTGAGGGGAAATTACTACAAAAAGGGGACCAAATCATAGTTGGGTCTAGCGAGTCTTTATNGGTAAAACTCATATTTTTTCCTTTGTCTATCCAATTGTGTGGATGAATCTGATTTGTGTTTCTTTTAATAGTGTTTTAATTACTGATATGAGCATTTGGAAGTTGATAAGTTTTAGATGCATACCCATGTCGATTTTATCAGTATTTGTTTAGTTTTAAACCTTTTTATGTCGATTTTGCCTTTTTTTTTTTGGGAAGCAATTGTGGACNATGGTGTCAAGACCCATACCTCTCTTTACTCCTTCCTATATAGTCATCCCATCTCTTTCTATCTCTTGGCCAGTGACCTCCTCTTGAAATCAGCTAAGTTACAATTGTGAAAAAAAGGAAAGAAATATGCAAAGCTTATGCCAATTAATGAAAAAATCCTAGAAAAATTTGCATTTGTGACCAGTTACTATATATTTTTGTGAGTCAACCTTGATTGTGGTGAAATAGCCCCTGATTTTTGCCCATACCACGGGTATGCATAAGCTGAAATTAAGAAAACTGTTTACAATTCTAATACAAATCGACTCTACTCTAAAAAGCCGACTAATGCATTCGATGTTTATGAGCACAATCTGGTAGTTATCATAACAACCTCCTCTAATTTCGGTAAATCTATTGTTAAACTAAACCTCATCCGAGCAAGGGAAATAGTATAATTCATGAACAAATTTGACATCTAGGGTGGACTTGGGGTCTTACCTTTGTTCAGAATATATACAATAGTTCAAAACATTTGTAAATTGGAGAACCCTGATTTGTACCATAAGGATCACTTACCAAATCTTCTGGTCATTGCATAGTAGACCTCCTCCTTTATTTGAATTCCAAGAATCCTGTCCAATTGAAAGGAATATAATCACCGGTTAAAGCAGCTAGACGTAGAGAGGTTGCATATTGCAAATAAGAAGGCTGTAAGCCTTTAGATCCAATGCCAAATTACTTTCCCAAAATTTCACACCTGATGTAGAAATCCTTTCCAAAATTGACACATAATGTCCTGCACATCAGGCTACTCTCTTACCTTGCCATAAAGTTGAGATTATGCATAAGCAGAAGTTAAAATCTCTTTTATCATCCGTAATTAATATTAAAATATCTGAAAGCATAAACATCAAAAGCTCAAAATCGTAATCACATGCTCATTTCCAATCACAGAAGCTCACTGCAAGAAAAAGCTGCATAGAAATAGCTAAAATTTTATTGATGGAGGCTAGAATAGCAGAAAAATGTGTGTTCTGAGAAGGATATCCAGGCTGAAGAAGCAAAGGATATCTAGCAAACATAGAAAATAAACACCAAAAAAGGTGGAGAGATAGAGAGAGGGATATGACATACTTGGTATTCCAATGGTGGGATCCAATGGGTCTCATGTGGTGGCTGAATTCGTGAAGAGAGATGGGAAGATGAGAGAAAAGAGAGACAGGAGAAGAGGGATGAAGTCGATATGGGAGGCAGAGATGAGAGAGGAGAGAAGTAGATCTGGAGAGATGGTGAATTAATTGGTGGGCGTGAATTTGGGGAAATAGAGGCACTAATTTGGGAATCATAAATAGAAACTAGTTTGGGCAAGAAATAAAATTTGAGAATCATAAATAGAAACTAGTTTGGGCAAGAAATAAAATTTGAGAATCAATCTGATCCGTTGGATCAGTATTTTTGAGTTGATCTATGCTGTGAAAAGTTCAAGATAACATAGTGTGTGTTTGTGTGTGTAACAACAACCCATGTCATTCCCAAGTAACTAATCAAAGCGAGACGAAAATTTGGGTTGGCTAATTTTTAATAAATTTGTAAAAAATAAATTGAAGTCAAAGAAAATGTAATGTCCATTTTATGAACAAAATCAAAGCATTGATTAAAAAACTAATGATGTGAGTCTCTATTCTCGTAAGTGTAGAATTGACAAAATATGTATAATCCAAACTCGGTTTATAGAATCCAGTTCATAGCGAATCCAAATTTGCATCCACAAAATCAAAGACACTAACATTTGCATGTTGCGATTCATAAAACCACTGCAACAAAAAAAAAATTAAAGAAAGATACTATTGTTAAGTTGCAGGATAATATATAGACCACAGAGTGTTGTGGTTCTTCACACCAATAGCTTATCTATAGCAACTATATTTATAGCAACAGTAAAATAAGGGTATGTACGTATGCACTCACAAATGACCTAAAACTTTAGAGTAATGAAGTTAGATAGAAGCCACCAATTATATCTGATGGGTGCATTTCTTTTCCACCAATACATGTTCAAAGTCATTTTTCTCTGAAAATGTTACCAAATATGCAGATGGGTCGAGGAAAACTAGGTATGGAGCTCATTCGAAGCAAAAAGGCTCGCCTGATCACCTTCAAGAAGAGAAAGTGTGGTTTAATGAAGAAGATAGATGAATTATCAACTCTATGTGGTGTTGAAGTGAGCATGATCATATATTCAGCCAAAGAGGATGCCTCTCCCATTGAGCTAGAGATTCATCCTGCCGATCCCAACAAGCTTCAGAACTTGATCACCAAGTACAAAAACCAAACCAATGATGATCGTCGAAAGAGAACTGTTGATTTATCGAACTTCTTCGAGGATCGAAAGAGGCAGGCTGAGAATGAACTTGTGAAACTGCAAAAGAAAATTGAAGAGGCTAAGTACCCTACATGGGATGATCAGTATAATAGTTTATCAGAAGAGCAATTGATGGAATTTGGTAATGTGTTGGGGGGTAAGCTTGAAACTGTGAAAAATAGGTTTGAACTCATTAAGGCTAGTGAAATATTGACCACAACGGGTGTGGATGTGATGGACAGCTCACAATCACATGCACAAATAGCCCAAAATCAGTCTAATTATATCATGCAGGGTTTGCTTAGGAGGAGAAGCATGCAATTGGAAGTTTTTCGCCAGCCCTTTTCATTGGTGAATGCTAATGATTTTGATCTTCTGCCTATTCACTACCCTTTTGATCATAAACTAACCCATCAGGGACTTCATTTTGATCCGACTTCAATGGCAAATCCAATGATGCTGATGTTCATGAATGATGAGGACTGTAGTACTGATCAATTTGGTGGCCCGTCGAGCAGCAATGGACACTACACTCCATTGAATGGACCAGCTTATGATCCAATGTCTGGGATGCTTGAAAATATGATGGTGAACAACCAAAGGCCTCCAGTGTATTTCTATGGCCATCCAACCGTGTTGCCTATGTCGGGGGATATGCAATACCCTATGCAGCCTTGCAGTTCATCTCAAATGCATCCTTCTCAGATGGACCAGTACCCATGCAGTAAGTGACTATCAGATGAAGAACCATAATAAGGTAGGGTTTGTGATATGAAACTGACTAGAGGATTTAGTAGCAGGATTCTGATATAGTTTAGAAATAAGGATATAATACAAGGACTTGGATTATTTGGTTTGGGTTTCAAATTTCGATTTACTTAATGCTTGTGACATTGATTTTTTATATGCATAGGTCTACTAAACTCACTTGTCTCTTTGAGTCTTATCAATTAATTCAAAAGTCATGGCATGGATGATTTGTCTTTATTTGCTAAAAATAAATATATCTAGTTTATTTTTGTTGGTATTACGACATTTGAATGGGACCTGAACTTTTGTTGTGGTCCCCTCTTTAATGAAGAGTAGATCATCAACCGTGAATTAAAGTAAAACTCAAAACATAATTAGTTGATCCGACAATTTATACATCATACATGATGTAAAATTGCATTGAAAAATGTTGAGGTAAGGTGAATACGAGGGGATTTAAATCCATTTTCAATATACGTCTCTGTTTTTTTTCTTTTTCACACAAAAAACAGTAATATCTTCATACATTAAGAAACATCATCTTGGAAAAATATTGACAGGAGCAATTCTCCTCCATTTATGAGTCTGATACATTAATTGCATTCCAAGCTAAAGAATGAGCCACAATGTTAACAGTTCTATGCGTTCAAGCAGCCTCTCTCAAGGAAATGTCCAATATCTGAGAGACCACCACTTCGTTTCTTTATCAGCTCTACAACATTTTTGGAATACCCCTCTGGAATGATACGTTGATACCCCATTTCAATGGCAAACTTGACATCAACATATGCTGCCCAAACTTTGATCTACTTCGCACTAATAATGTCTTGGATTAGTTTATTACAACCAGCCACAAAGCTCCCATTACAATCTCTCACCACTAACCAATACCAGCAGCCCCCTCTCTATTGAAATATACAACCATCAAAATTCAATTTGAGAATTCCAGGTGGGGGAGCAGAGCAGACCGTGCTGACACAGTAGTTGGACTGGTTTGATGACCCAACTGATGTATATGCTCTTGAGCCGTGTACTGACTCAAGTAAGATACCGAAAAATCAACTATTTGTAATCTAACTTAACTATTTATAGACTTACATTGTATTAGTAGATACTCGATTGTATAATGCGTTCCACTTAAATTCATAGTTGTTGATCAATTGTTTTTTGTAACTACAACGATGGGATGTTAATGAGACGGGTCAAAAGAATTGGTAAGTGTTAAAACAAAGTGGTCAGTGTAGTAACTCTGATAAACTTAGACAAGGCATGACCAAATATTTTCCCATATAAATGCTTGAGAATTTCTTATTGACCAAGAACATGGCCAACACATACAGCATGCTTATCACAACAAAATTCGATTAGAAGTAGATCCTAAATTTGGGTGACATACAATCCAATGACAACAGTAAATTACGTTAGTAGAGAACACTGGACATCTTGCATAAAAAGTTCCATAAACAACATCGAGAATTTTTTTTTTTTTTTTGTGAAAAAGGATATTAGTTTGCCAAAATTTAGGAGATGTTCGTGTAATTTACCCATAGATTTTAAAAATGAGTCATAGCATAGGCTCCTCTCCAATTTCTGAACAAATTTTAGCATTCCCCAATTCCTTCTTGAATGGCAAGGATTTGTACGTATCTACAAATCAATCTATTTAAATTTCTAAAATTCAAGGTGTTTTTTGAATAAGATAAAAGTTATTGACGTGAATGGATTTAAGAACGAAAAGACACATCATGCTTATCTCTTCCTAAATCGTGCTATTAATATCTTTTGTCAAAGCAGGGAATCACTCTAATTGGCCTGTTAGATAGCTAATAATTTCTTTATTATGTCTGAAGATAAGTTGTTCCAATATAATTAAGATAAAGACAAGGTTTATTTGTCTGTTAATTGTTCTAATTATTTCTTATTTATGTGGGTAGTTCTCTTGAATCATATTTGAACAACTTTAAGACATTAAAGTTTAATCAAGGAAACACAAGTATATAAAGAGACAAGACAGCAGTTTTGACCAACTTCCTAAATTGACCTCACCAATGCCCCAAAAAAGACCACTAATAGTGCTTCATTCTTTGCCACGCAATTTGTATTCAATGTCACAATTAGTCCAGTCCAGTCCAGTCCAGACTCGCGCACACAATACGATCCCTTACATGACTACTTCCCACATATCATTTTAAAGTTTTACTAAAAGCTTGGATAAAAAAGGTTTTTGTGTAAAAACAATAATATTTTTGCCTTCAGTGTATATAAATTCATAACAAGAAGACTTCGAAAAAATACTTAATTTTTTACGTAGACATAAATAAGCGACAATTTGTTTTAGCATAAACAGTAAAAAAAGTAAAACTTGTTGAAAATGATAGTTGTGTTATAAAACTAGGAATATAGAGATATGAATGAACAAGAGAATATAGAAATGATAGAGAATAGAGTTTTTCAACATATATTTTTTAAAGTATCCAAGACCTCCATTTATATGCCTCCATACATAATGACTATCAAATGCAATATTAAAGGTGATATATCAATGGCTAGGGGTTATAGGCTAATACACTAACACCAACTAATTCTCATTTACTTGAAGTACTAATTGGAAGGTTAAAGGTCATCCACTTTATATACAATATTTAAAACACTACCCCTTGAATGACCACTGTGTTAAAATAATGTTTATTTAAAACCTTGCTAGGAAAACCCTATGAGAACAAAACCCATCGAAGGAAAGAAGAGTTCATATTCAAGTAAATNAAGGTCATCCACTTTATATACAATATTAAAAACACTACCCCTTGAATGACCACTGTGTTAAAATAATGTTTATTTAAAACCTTGCTAGGGAAACCCTATGAGAACAAAACCCATCGAAGGAAAGAAGAGTTCATATTCAAGTAAATGTTAGAATAACGTTGGACATACTAATGCTGACTCATTAAAACCTTGTTAGAAAAAACCAAATTGGATAAAACCTAGACGAAGGAAAAATAGTACAGTGTGCATGTAACACCCTAAATCCTTTTCATAGTATTTAGAGCGCTAATAACCTTTATAAGAAGTAATCAATACAANAATATATAAAGAGACAAGACAGCAGTTTTGACCAACTTCCTAAATTGACCTCACCACCAATGCCCCAAAAAAGACCACTAATAGTGCTTCATTCTTTGCCACGCAATTTGTATTCAATGTCACAATTAGTCCAGTCCAGTCCAGTCCAGACTCGCGCACACAATACGATCCCTTACATGACTACTTCCCACATATCATTTTAAAGTTTTACTAAAAGCTTGGATAAAAAAGGTTTTTGTGTAAAAACAATAATATTTTTGCCTTCAGTGTATATAAATTCATAACAAGAAGACTTCGAAAAAATACTTAATTTTTTACGTAGACATAAATAAGCGACAATTTGTTTTAGCATAAACAGTAAAAAAAGTAAAACTTGTTGAAAATGATAGTTGTGTTATAAAACTAGGAATATAGAGATATAAATGAACAAGAGAATATAGAAATGATAGAGAATAGAGTTTTTCAACATATATTTTTTAAAGTATCCAAGACCTCCATTTATATGCCTCCATACATAATGACTATCAAATGCAATATTAAAGGTGATATATCAATGGCTAGGGGTTATAGGCTAATACACTAACACCAACTAATTCTCATTTACTTGAAGTACTAATTGGAAGGTTAAAGGTCATCCACTTTATATACAATATTAAAAACACTACCCCTTGAATGACCACTGTGTTAAAATAATGTTTATTTAAAACCTTGCTAGGAAAACCCTATGAGAACAAAACCCATCGAAGGAAAGAAGAGTTCATATTCAAGTAAATGTTAGAATAACGTTGGACATACTAATGCTGACTCATTAAAACCTTGTTAGGAAAAACCCAATTGGATAAAACCTAGACGAAGGAAAAATAGTACAGTGTGCATGTAACACCCTAAATCCTTTTCATAGTATTTAGAGCACTAATAACCTTTATAAGAAGTAATCAATACAATTCTCAAATAATAAGTAAGCTTTGATACCATTGATATGAACATTAGCCTTGCACTATTACATCAAAAACACTATTCAGNGAAAAAACCAAATTGGATAAAACCTAGACGAAGGAAAAATAGTACAGTGTGCATGTAACACCCTAAATCCTTTTCATAGTATTTAGAGCGCTAATAACCTTTATAAGAAGTAATCAATACAATTCTCAAATAATAAGTAAGCTCTGATACCATTGATATGAACATTAGCCTTGCACTATTACATCAAAAACACTATTCAGTCATAGCCCTTTATTACAAATGGGTAAATACAATTCAATGATTACAACATAACACATGTTCAGCTCTTAAATAAAAACCAAAAAAATGACTTTCCCGCCACATGATAATCTAAAAGGGGGAAATAATGTAGGGTGAGTATTAATAGCTCAGTGAAGTAACTCAATGCTAAACAAGTGAGTTTGAAAATATAAAGTTTGACATGATTGGGCATATCAAAACAGTTTGTTTTTATACATATATAATAGAACAGTGAACATTGAACGAAAATAATTAAGTTGAAACTAGTAATAAGATCACAATATCAATCAATGCTAACCCGGTGGGTAATCATCCTAATAGACCACTTAGGGTCAATACGAACATACGATCCAACCTTTTGGGGGGACTTACAACCCGAGGAAGATATGCTCCCCAATCAAAGTTTAGTATCCAAGTTCGAAAACCAACTAGGCCACCCTGGCATTTATGAACTCAATAAGAAACCCTCTATGACCTCAACCTAGAATGTAAATCCTCTGCCACTCGACCTTTGCACACTTACATTTAATTCAAAAGAATCCCGAAGTTTCAATCATTTTTAATGATACAACCAATATGAGCAATACGAACATTAGTGCAAACTACCCTCAACAATTCCAAATATCGGGTCCAGATCCAAGTCAATATTCAAAGCATCA